TATCTTTCTAATATACATTTCGGTAATTAAGTAAAAAGTCCAAAGAATTTAATCGTTTTTTTTGAGCAACTCTTTCCGGATGGCTAATTTCCGACTTTTAATGTAACTTTGATGACTTTCTCAAATATTGTAAAACTTGAAAAGTTTATTAAGTCTGAGCTTAATCTCGTGGACAAGTAATTACTAACAGTAAGAATAAAAATGAAATTCCAACTATAAGTTTAAATTTGCCACAGTTTACCCCATTTCCATTTCTCATGAGAAATGTTGTCAACGGCACTTTTGAATTGTTCATTCATTTGGAAGACTTAACAACATTGATGATATTTTTAAAACAAAGAAAAAAGTACATAATCATGTTTACAGCTTTACCGAGAAAAAACGAATTGATTCATTCGTTGTGGCATTTTGATTAGGAAATTTGATAATGAAGAAAAAAAAAAAGATTTTTCAAGAATTGACTTTCTTACTTTTATAAAATGATACGCAACTCGATAGTGCCTTTCATACTAAATTACTAATTAGTTTAGAAAGTGCTGCTGAAACCCATTAACACTTGAAAATGAAATTGCACATTTGAAAACAGAATTTAAGATATAATTCTTAGCATAAAAACAGTTTTGTATCACTGATTACAATAATTAATTTTCACTTTATGATTTAATTATATAAATGAAAGAAATCGTAAAGTAGACATTGATTGTTTTTTAAATTCCAATTTCTTTATTTCGCTTTTTTAAATCAACGATTTTGAAAATATTTATTTATATGCATAATTTTTTATAAAAAAATTAATTCCTTTTTGCATTCATTTTATATCAGTTATTGTTTAAATGCATTTTTCCATCTAGAAATGTGAATTTTCACCTTTTATGCTTAGTCTTATTTGCAAGCTCAATTTACTTACTTTTTCTCCTTTTTCTTTATGGCAAGCTTTATCTTCGGGAAATGTTGAATTTCCTGGGAAAAGTTCAAAAAATAATGTAGTGACACAATTCCTAGCATTTCAATTTAAATGATTCTTTTAATAGCAAATAATTGTTTCCAGTAAAATTTTCTGCAAAACCGAGAAATCTACCAATTAAAAAAAAAAATTTCGTTCGACTTATGTCTTTTTCTTAGAAGACTGAGGTAAATGAAATGATTTAAGAAGATAACTGGAATTGTTCATCTTCAACGATGATAATTTCTTGATTTATATATATATTTCAACAATAGCAAAGTATTTGTTTCATTTTCTTCTTTTTGATTAATTATAGTATTCGTTGAATAGTGGCAACAAAAAATGCTTTCTTATTTCATTAATTAGTCGAAAAGATTTTAAAGTGTCAGAATGATGATGTAATGGACATATAATAGCTTGCAGATGAACATTTTTAACTCTGTGACAGAGACATCATTAGAATGTATTATTAATTATTAGATTATTAATTCCACATTAGCTGGAGATCAATAATAAGCTTTTATTGAAAAAAAAAAAATAAAAACATCAGTCTGATATAAACCTTGCATTAAAACTTTATCTGATTGAACTTTCGAAGTGAAAAAAAGTATATCAGCAATCATATACAATGTAATATTTTCCGTAGACTGAATTAATCAGATCAGATCTAATCGAATGTTTAAATCTAGCCTAATTTTGGCATTACTAATACTTTTCACAGACATACAGTAGCATCACTTGAATAACATGAAAATGGAGATAAAATTTTAAAGTATGATAGAATAAAAATGTCAGTTTAAGAAATTTAAAAATAATGTAGGGAGAAATTCATTCACCTTTTTTACGTCATTTTTGTTCTATCATTTTTGTTTCTTACCAAATTCTGCTCTGCTTAAAAGACATTTTTGGAGCATAAGTTATTACCGAAGGCGATGAAATCAGATTTATTTCCATTACACTATGCGGAAATGTCTTAGAGGTCGATCGGACAGGTGCAGCAGTTTCATTAAATTCACAGTAGGCAAATTTAGTTCTCCTTTCTTCTTTTTCATTCATTATATTTGTTTCAATACGATGACTAAAAAGATCTCTGGGAAAAGTCGCCTTCGAAATGTAAAAAAAAGAAGTGAACTCTCATGTCTAATAAAATGACTTGTGTTTTTGTTTGAATAAGAAAATTCTTTCACTTATTGAATTCACAATTGTTTCTGATAACAAAAGTACATTTCACTTAATTTGTCAAGAATGGTCACAAAGTCTTAACAGTATCAAAAGTCAAAGAATCTACGAAAAACAATTTTGAATGTTTCAGCTGAATTCCCTCTTTCCTTTTTTCAGTTTTTTAATGAGCAAGGACGCTTATTGTCAAATCCTATCAGAGATGAGAAATACACTTATCGACCTTAACGTTGAGCTCTTTGACAGGAATCGCTTTGCTATCAAATTCCATTTGCAGTCTAATTCTTTTAGAGAAAAGCCATTGCACTGTTAGTAACTTCCATTATTATCTTTCAGAAATTCTTCCAAATATTCATTTACTTATTCGTTGGAAAGACTAATTGCCACATCTGTATATATGTTCTAGCAGTCAAATGAAGGGTAAAGTCCAAAATACTGATTTCATTCTAAATGAATTTTAAAATCACAACAAATTTTGCGATTTTAACCATCTGCTGCTTCTGACCAATTCTCGCCTTTCTGTGAGAAACAAATTGTTTAAACATTCAAATAAATCATTCAGATCCATTTGTCGCTTTCTCGCCAACAATCGCTAACAAATCATTTTCATTTTACATTTTGAACACATTTGTCGAGATTATATGTAATTTCTTTCGAAGCTTTTTTTCCACTAAAGATCAAATTCATTATATAATTCAGTTCTCGACTGGTAAGCTAAACTTTTTGTCGCTACTTGCAGAGATAATCCTACGATAAATATCCTTTGTAGTCTTAGCATATCTACTCTTATTCACAGGTGATTTTCTTAGCAATGAAATTTGAATATTGCAAAGTAATTATTAACTTTGGTTCTTTGCAATATATTCGCAATGATGAGATGATATTTTCGATATGAATTTATCAGCCCATGATGATCTTATTTCTCCATGTTGATTTCCATCCTATTGTGTTCTTTTTCGAACTTTTAAAAATTGCTGATTATTACTGTCTTGCTATTGAATGCTGATTACAATTTTGCTATTGAATTTCATCTTCTTTTACATAAAACTGAATCCATAAACTTATGAGCAGCTCTATTCCAAACAGAAAACTTATAATGACCTTAAAAAGCAACACAGTAAAAAAGGTGGTATCCTTCACATATAATAATAGTTTAGCTGTTAGCATATAAGCTATGTGTCCTTCATCAGTAAATCGTGACACAGCAAGTGGTCTGATCAATCATTTGATCCACTGTTTATCTTCTAAAGACTTCAAATAATGAATATATTATATAACTTAATATTTAAAAATGTATCTCGAAGTAGGTAGCGCAGCATGAAGGATTAATAGCACACAATAAGTACGGAATTTCCCCATTTCACGAGATCGATTTATGAAATTTCCTGCTTGTTTACATTCAACTGATCTATTTATTTAATTCGTTCTACGAATGCTTTCATTAGAAGTCTCTCTTTCTTTCCCTCCCTCTCTCTTCCTTCCTTTCTCTCTCCCTCTCTCTCTCCCTTTTTCCCTACCGCTCACTTCCATTTCATTCATTCAGCTATCTGTCACAAAGGACAGTCATGTCATTATCCCTAAATTTATTTTATTTTATGATTCAAGTGAAGGATCTAATTTCTGTTTTTGTTTTTTCGCATATCTCAGATATTAATTATCGATCAGCCCTATAATGGAAGATTTTACAGAAATTAATACGATAATCAGTGTTGATCAACACTTATAACAACATTCAAAGGAGTACAGTACTATGGATGAATCTAAGTATCTATGCCTTAATAATAATTAAATTTAGAGACACTTATAAGTTCAATACTAACTGAAATCTGGTAATAACCAGTCTTCCCTCATATTACTACAGCAGCAAAAATTGTACATTCTATTCGATTCCTTGATGAACTTAAATTCAAAATCTCAAATTCTTAATATGTGACTCGAAACTGATGAGGGAATTTTGATGAATATGTTAAACTGTTTTGGTGTCAAAAATGCAAATAAACCGAGAGCCTATGACAGATGTGACCTTTTGGTGTTGCTCGCTGCGCAGTTCTTGTATGCGTCGATGAATATTATGAAAGGGAAATTTTAGTTTAACCAGCATCTTTTGAATAACACTCCCTTTGTTCATTCATTCAAATAGCCACTGTCCACAAAGGTTCCTTCCTGCAACTTCATTTAGAATTCACAATATAGCTTCATTAGATTTAGGCACATTTCTCATTTAATGAATGATGCTCTTCTAGCAAAATCCAAAGGAAACAGTGCACCCTTAGCAAAGACCAAGGGCCAAAGGTAAACGACATATCTTTAATGAAGGTTAAAGACCAAAGATTGAAAGAAGAGTGGACAGAAAATTAGGTGAGAATAAGGATAAGGATGTATTAGGCCTATCTGTAAACAGCAGGGTCAATATGTAAATAGTAGTAGAGTGGGGGAGATTGCCACGAAATGTCACAGGATAAAACGACCTTTGCCACTTCAGAAGTCAAAATGACCGGCAGGGCCGTTTCCAGTTCGCGACAGACGTCGAGAATTGTGAGTATTGTTCATATGATTTTGTGGGGAATTATATGCGTATTTATTAGTCAGTGTGTGAACTAAGCGATGCGACAGTTTGATAAGTGTCACAGTTTCACACTGTCAAATCATTGTCCTTAGATCCTTCCATGCTTTCATCTGCTTTTTTATTTCGAGAATTGATTGTCTGGAAACTTTTGAAACTTGTGTTGGAATAAGAACCATATATGTAAATTTCAGATTTCAATACACAAAATGCAGCAAAGATATATGGTAATGTCTGATGCATGCTGACATCTTATTTACGCAGTGGTGCTGCTACCGAAGTAGTGCCAACATCCTTTGTAATTTCATTTACATAATGGAAGCACGATCCATGGCTAAAGAAGACTCAATCATTTCATATGACAAGGATGACACTCTGAAAAATGCTGGTGATGATGTGACAATTATGCCCCTTGAAGATAGCATTGGTTGTGTTTATGGTAAATTAGTTTTGCTTGGGTAAGTATTAAACAATATACTTTTATAGCTGACATTATGAACTACTTTCACAAAACAAGTGAAAGTAGTTGCAATTATGTGCCACAAGGAAATACAGTGTTCCAAGTGTCCTGATGACCTTAGTTTTCGTTTCATTTGACAGAAATTTTGATACTATTTTCGTGAGTCCTTAAAAGTACTACGAAGGATTTACTTCATTAAGCAGAGAATGGTACTATTAACATTATATTTGGAACTAATTATTTTCATATATTCATTCCGAGTTGTAGAAAATCTTAATTTGCTGCATTATGTTGAATATTTGTTGAGATGATTTAGACATTTCATTCTTTTATTATTATTAAATAATGGCGAGTAGTAAAATTAGTTGATATTTTGTTTTTATAGTTATAATGGGACGCTTGAAAGCAGTAGCACTTATGCTCAAGGCCGCAAGCATCGCTCAAAAATGATCCTACGCAAACGATTAATGGGTAACGGTATTAAAAAGGATCAAAGCATTTCGGTTAGCATCCCGCCATCACAAAGTCAGGTATCGTGTTTTTAAATTGTCAAGAAAATTATCACTAAAAATAATGATGTCCTGCAAATCATTTTTATGAGCTGTTGATTTTTACATCGTTCACTCTTATTAATTTAAAGCATAAAAATCCTTTCAGGTAGTGCGCGATGCTTCACGGCATGTTGTATCGTATTCTTATAATCGTAATCATACAGTTCTTGTAGAATATAGCCCTGATCCTTATAAAGATATGTTTCAGGTAATTACAACCTAAATCATTTTTTGCTTTCCGTATTTGTGTAAGATATTAAACATTAAATATGTTTCTGATTTTTGTATTTTTTTTTCGACCAAAATTTCTCCCGAGTGTCTTCTCAAATTCTCGGAATTAAACAAAAATTAAGCTGAAATTAAGATCAGTTCTTTTTTCAAACCAAACTGAAGTTTACTGATCTTCATTTTTACAGACGTCGTTGTTTTAATAATAATTCATTTTGTATCGAGGATATCATAGCTTGTTCAAGGTAGAAAGGAGCGTAATGTCTTAATTCATAACAATTTTCGCCAAATGCTAATGGTAAGAGGAAGAAAAAAAAACATTTGGCAATTCTAGAATTCTTCTTTCAGATTGGTCGCTCTTCCGAAGAGCAAATAGATTTTACTGTTGTGGATACATGGCTTGCTGCAAACGCCCTTTACCCAGGTTATTTTTTCAGCACTATTTGTTGCAAGCCGGACATGAGTGATTGTCACAAGCAGTGCGCATTAATCTTTTCTGACTGTTAATTACACAATTTTTTCATTGTCGAGCTAACACAACGGGTTATGCAGGCATGACTAACTTGTAGTAGAAAACTTTTTGGTCTACGAAAAAAGTATGAATGAATAATTGCTAACCATTGAGGTGATGGTCTGAAGTTGAATCATTTATTCGTTATCCATCCAGTTATTTCCTATGAAAATTCATCAGTTAACATTGAAAACAGAGCAACTGATAGAGCTTCTGAAATATCATTAATTTCACAATAAACTTAAAGGGAAAGTGATTCAGGAGTTCACAACATACATGGATCGGACAATGGTGTTATTGATCATTTTGGAGTTGGAAAAGATTCACGATGCAATATCCAGCGACCAATATCTTCAACTATTAGTCGTTACGCCTGTCGGATACAAATTAACCGTGACTATCCTCATCGAGCTTTTTTATATGCTGCTGGATTTGACAGTTCCAGAAACATTTTTCTCGGAGTATGTTTTTTTCTCTAGTTTCAAAAATATAGCCCTTTTCCTTTTATTTCTGAAAACTGCTATATACCGTCATGTGGAAAATCATTTACTGAATTTTTTGCAATTTTCTTTACAAACGAATTGCACTAAATATCTACGTTGAGTCTAATTTTACGTTCCCGGTGTTCCTGGTAATTTCTATAAATAAATTGCAGGAAAAGGCAACAAAGTGGACAAAATATGATGGCGAAATTGATGGTCTTACAACAAATGGTATTCTTATTTTGCAACCAAATAATATGCAAAGACAGGTACAATGACCTATTGCCTTATTACAGTATTTTTATAACCATTGGATTAAAAATATACATTCTTGGTTATTTAATAAAGTTTCCATTACTATGGTTGGTGTTTTTTATTTTGTTTCGCATAAAGCTTAAAGTTGTTTTTGCTATCTGATCCTTTACTGATTCAAGAGGTCATGTATAAAATTCGAGTGAAATAATATAACCAAAAAAGTGGATGCCATTGACAAATTGAATTAGAAAGGATAGGCTTGTGGTTTCAATCCCTCAATGCAAGTCCAAAAAGAGCTTGCAATTCTGCAATATTTTTGGTAAGCAGAATGCACTATGTCATTTGCTTTATCATATTGGCTTCTGTATTTATTTTCAACTCCAAAAGATCTATTCTCATTCTGATCCATCGAATGTCTACTGACAAAAGTACTTCATTTCTTATTTGAATATTTAGTGAAAGTTACGAGATGATGTTTAACCTTAGAAAAAAATCATTCAGGATCTCGGTCAAAACGTGGAAGATCATATGGGAATGTTTGTGTGGCGTGAAGTCTCTGTCGATGGTGACATCTACAATATAAGGGAAACGAGGTCTTCAACAAAACGGGGGGAGTTGTTGGCGGGCGAAACCAATGAATTACAGGTATATGAAATTGTAAAAAAAAAGCTGATTTCTCAAATTTCATGAGTTAGATTTGACAAATTCCTGACATGTTCGAAATAAATAATGAAAGTGTTAAAAAAATTTCAGTTACTTGATTTCCAGGATGGGACATTGATTGATCTCTGCGGTGCTACGCTTTTATGGAGGACGGCTGAAGGATTGACGAAGAGTCCGTGCCGAAGTGAGCTTGAGTCAAGGTAGATTTAATCATTTTTGGAAATCAAATTTGAAATGAATTTTGGCTAGTAGTTTTTGGGCACGTCGAGGCTTTTTTCTATTTTTTGAAAATTTCCAGGCTTAATGAAATTAATGCTGGAAAGCCACAATGTCCAGTCAATCTGAATACCCTTATTATCCCAAGGAAAAAGTCAGCAAAAAGTTATGGTTCTTCCAGACAACCATATGTATGCTATTTTTATAATAAAACTTTCTGCCCTTGCTTTATTATTTGTTGATGAAAAAATTTCCAATATTTACCAGTAAGCAGTTTCTAATATATACTGACTAAGAATTCTAGATTGTAGAACAGTTTATCTTAGACATTTTTTTTAGTTCAAAATACTTTTCGTTTCGTAAATTATTTCAAAATGAATATTTTGCTTTATGTTTGAACAGTTATCAGTTTTAGGTCTATCTTAATTGCGGCCATGTACAAGGCAAGCATGCATGGGGCAAAAATGATAAAAGTGAGAGCGGGATTTTGTATAAATGCCCTATATGTTTGGTGGATTCTTCTAAAATAATTCAGCTAGTTATGGGAATGGAATCAGCATTCCATCTTGATTCGGATACACTGGACTATGCTTTCAATCCATGTGGACATGTTGCTTCACTATCCACTGTGAGGTGATTAGTTCAAATTTTTTTGAATTTTTGTCAAAATATGTTATAAATCTTTGAGATTTCATTCATCATATATATCAAATATTTCTGTTGCTTTTATAAGTTAGATATTTCATTTACTTAATTCAGTAGTTGAACGAAAAATATGCATCTTGTCGAATTTCTTTGTAAGTTCAAATAATAATGGGAAGTTAAATCCCAGAATTAATTCGGTTTCTTATAGGTATTGGTCTCGCATTCCCTTGCCGCATGGCACTAGCAGTTTTCATCCAGTATGTCCATTTTGTACATCACTGTTATCAATGGATAAACCATATGTTAGACTTATTTTCCAAGATCATTGCTCTGATTCGTAATCCTTGAATACAGAAATAGCTTATAGTATTTAGGATCTCAGTTATTTCTCTGTAGTTCTTTTTTCTCTTTCCTTCGCGGATTATAGCCTCAGCAAGCGAGAATAACTTCCGAAGCTTTCAGATTTGTTGTAATTAATGACTTGTATTTTTTAACTCTAAGTGTTTGGGACGGATAAGCAGAACATTATCTGGTCACGAAAAGAGGTTCTTTTGCAACATTTTTAATTTAATTTCTTACATGTAATATTTGCTAATGTGTTTCTAATATTAGATACAAGCAAGAGTCTGAGAATGTTTTATTATCGTGTTATTATCACTATTTTTGTTTTTGTGTAACTGCGAATTTATTTAATCGAAAAATTAAATGTTTTATGAGAAATTCATCATGCTTTACCTAATTGTGCATCAGGAAAGATTATTCGTTATACATATTTGCTGTGTTTTACTTTATTTTCTTTCTCCTTTAATCTGATCAATGAAGTTTTTCTAAACTTTGAAGGCCTGAATGTCGCCATTTGAAATGAAATGCCGATTAGTGATTCATAAAATTTCATAGTCACGATCCAATCAATTTAATGTGGGTTGTTGAATAGATTGTTTTCCATTCAATGGTTAGCTGGTGGTAAGCTAACGATGAGTGATGCAAAAAGAATAGGTGAAACCAGTTTCACACTTTTTCCACTTCCATTTCTATCATTTTTATCTTTCCACTTCTTTCTTAATCAGTCAAGTGTAACTTGTATTTTCGGGCATTTGTCATGCTGTACAAATTATGTTTTTTTGACAAGGTTTAGATGTGGTGAATTTTTGTTAATGTTTGTAAATAATGACATCGAAACATGTGCTTAATTTTCAATTAAAGCCTTTTTCTAATTTTACTGGCTTGCTACAATTAAATTTTACATTTTGGATGTTATTCTTGACTTTGGACTTTAAGCATTTCATAAAAGCTTCATGATACCTTATAATTGGATGAATTTCAACATGTTTACTAGAAATATCAGGAATAAACTCGACTCGACAAAGTTCTGAGTTCTCCTTAATTTTATAAAGAGCTTTTTGAAAGTGAAGATGACGGGAAAAACCATTGGATGAGAAATGAGAAAGGATTTGAAATAAAAGAAGCAAATAAAACGGGAATAGGAAAGATCTGCACAGTAGTCTTCGTTTGGAAGTAAGAACGAGAAGTTGCAGAATCATATTCTTTGTTACGTTTGGGACGTACTACGATTATACGATTATGGTTACTAACGACTTAAAGTTTCGTGTTGCTGTTACTATTGTTACTACGACGGACAAAAAAAAAAAAAAAAAACTTGTAATACTTTTGTTACCTGTGGTTAGAAACTTTCTTAGGATTAATATCTTTTACCTCAATAAAGGAGACCTCGTTGTCCTAGGGATTCGTAAATTCCTTTTTAGTTAGCTTTAAACAAAACGGACAAAAACGGGATGTATTACATCTCCGAACTGTACTGAGTTGTATCTAATTGATACTGGTTGTGCTGTTGATGATATAGATTTTTTTTGATTATACTTTTAGAATTCTTTCAGATGAAGGATTGAGCAATGGAAATAACGAAATCGTTGCAAAAATTATTGTTGAGTACGCAGGGCGTGCAGCATATCTTCATCACTGATAAGGAAGGTATACCGATTATTGGTGTAAACGAGTTGGGCGGTATGATTTTTACTTTTTCCTTTATTTAATCCTTAATTTAATGTCTCTAACATAGTTAAAGTTAAATTAAATTTTCTGCAATATTTCCTACGGTATGATTTTTCTCATTTTTTTTACACTCTAAACCGATTTTTTTTCTCTGATGGCATCTTCCAGTCCCGCTACTTGCAATAAGTGCATCAAATTTCTATATTCTCCATTGAATTTATCCTTTTCTTAGGTGCTATTGTCACCCTTTTAGAATAAGAAAATATTCTGGTATGATTTTCACCTACTTTAATTGCAAAGGAAAATCTAATTTTTAATGATTTTTTAAATTTATTTATAGAAGAAGATCTACGAAATCGATTGCAACTTATCAACAGTAATCAGATAACGATGGAACAGATACCAAAGTTGAATCTTGGCGAACAAAAATCAGCAATTTTCTGGTATACATTTTATTTTATTTTTTCTGTTAAACTTCGTAGAATAAGACATTAGAATTTTTTAAACTGAATAAATTTTTTTAAATTAAGAAATCGGCAAAATTTTTCTTCTGAAAAATCATAATAAAAAAGGCATATTTTATCACATTTTCTTAAACTTCTTCCATTTGCCTTTACAAATTCGGCTCATTAATTTTTTAAGGATTAATTTTTTTAGGGATTTTAAAGATTCAGAAAAATTTTGATCTACTTTTGCTGAAATTTGTGACTTATCTCCATTTATCAAAATATTACCGTTTCAATGAGATATTATCTTATGTTTATAGTTATGAATCGACAACTCTAGTGATGCTTCAAATCAGCTCATTCTTTGTAATCATTATTGCAAGTTCTGAAGCTTCTCTTGGTACACTACGAAATCTTAGGCATGCACTGAAATCTATTATCAAGGAAATTGCAAGTGCAGCTGGTTTACACTGATTCTGATTCCAGTATATTTACTTTTTATTAGAATGTACTTATAGTATTCCTTATAGTTTGTTGTAAATTCAGAATGAATTGCAATGCACAGTTTGTTGAGACATTAAAGTCTGTCGGTGTTTTGCCTGACAGTTATTCGTTTTTCCGACAATTAAAATTTAACATAATTATTGACTGCATACTTACTGCTACAATGTGGAACTTTCTCTAAGTGACAGATCTACAAGATTAAATTTTCGTAATTAATGCAATTTCTTTGGTACTGTGTACTATTTCCAGCCAGCTATGCAAATTCTCAGAGATACAATTTTTTAACAGTTTTGTAAGAAGTTGCTGATTTTCATAAATTTTCATTGTTATGATTATGTTCTTATCTGATTAAAGAAATCAAAGTTTTCACAAATTTTATAAAGATCTCAAGGAGCAGTTGACCAGGTTTGTTTTTTGATTGCTCTTATTTTGATTTCACCTTTATTTTCTGAATTTTATTCAAAGCTGCTAACACCAAGTTCATTTAAGATCTAATGGGTGTGTGAATACAAGACATATCAATATGAATGAAATTCTAATGAAGGACATTTCTATTTATGTATTAAATCGTGTTTTTTTTTCTTGCAATACTAAAAGAATAAAAAGTCCTCAGCACTGTATTATTTCGCTTTCCAGAAAATTTTTTGTCAAAGAAACCTCATTTTAGTTTTTCGGTAAGGCGTGTTTTGCCTGTAACAATTTACTGTTTTGAACATTGGTTAACTACACAAAACTGACGAATAAACATCGAATGATAAGGCGACATTATACTTTACTGAAAATTTGCCAATACCTCTTGATCTTAAACTTCTTATGCATTAACACATTTTTCCATTATCTGCAAATAATATATTTTCCTTTGTGTCATCCTTATCAATCAAAAATGTTTCACTCTATAAATCTCCAAGTCCTGTCAGTGATTTCAGTGGATTATGAATTTGAGGCTGGAAATGATTGGTTTCACCCGCCAACAACTCCCCCCGTTTTGTTGAAGACCTCGTTTCCCTTATTGTAGATGTCACCATCGACAGAGACTTCACGCCACACAAACATTCCCATATGATCTTCCACGTTTTGACCGAGATCCTGAATGATTTTTTTCTAAGGTTAAACATCATCTCGTAACTTTCACTAAATATTCAAATAAGAAATGAAGTACTTTTGTCAGTAGACATTCGATGGATCAGAATGAGAATAGATCTTTTGGAGTTGAAAATAAATACAGAAGCCAATATGATAAAGCAAATGACATAGTGCATTCTGCTTACCAAAAATATTGCAGAATTGCAAGCTCTTTTTGGACTTGCATTGAGGGATTGAAACCACAAGCCTATCCTTTCTAATTCAATTTGTCAATGGCATCCACTTTTTTGGTTATATTATTTCACTCGAATTTTATACATGACCTCTTGAATCAGTAAAGGATCAGATAGCAAAAACAACTTTAAGCTTTATGCGAAACAAAATAAAAAACACCAACCATAGTAATGGAAACTTTATTAAATAACCAAGAATGTATATTTCTTTTAATCCAATCAATTAATTAAATGGTTATACTTCTTAAAATTAGTACAGCTAAAAAAACTGCAATTTGTTGAAGCAAATTACCAAGGATAACAGGAAGTTGAACATGATATCTGGTGTAATTCGTTTAAAAAGAAAAGTGAAATTTCAAAAATGGGATTGTTTCTTGAGACTGCCATGACGAGAGATGATTATTTTTATTTCTAACAAATAAAATTCAGGAATTTAAAATGCAGGGTAAAATAACATGGTTAGCTTTATTCAAATTATAGCAGCATTTGATATTGACATTTTAATTAATTCTAAATTAAATTAAGTGCGGGAACTTCATGATTGGGAACATACACACTTTCCCAAACTGAGTACAATCACACCGAGCAATTTGTTGACTGTGACAAATGCGTCTCTTTCGTCCGGTAATCTTTCAGATTCATATTATCAAATCCTTCTACGATAATATCATTCTTCTATATGTACAGATATATAGCACATTATTGAACTTCAAGTATTTCATTCCAGTTAGAAATAATTTTATCCGGCAAACCGGAATATGCCCAGCAAATAAGAATTTTTTGCGGACATTTTTATATGACTGAGTTCAATTTGCAATCTTCTAGCATTTCATGTCAAATGGTACAAACACTCGAATGGGACATGAATGTTGCATTTCTCTTGGCTTGTCATCAATTTGTGTTCCAGGAATTGGAGTGAGGGGGCGAAGTGGTACATAGGAGAGTTTCGGATTACTGATTCATCTAAGGATAATTTGGCTCACTTACTTTGGATGTTATAGGTGGTTGATTCAGACGATGACTATCTCATCCCAACAAAACTTCAGCGAGAGTGACGATTTCTCCAAATTAGTAAGTCGGTTTTCTGTGTGGGCGTATTCATCTGCATATATGTCTGAAATTTTAGTGATCCAATAATTTCAGATACAACTTTTAATATTATTCCAGAATTTGACTTTGGTAAGAAAATAGGCACCAGAACACTTCTCGTTTATTTTATCTGTTGACTCCTTTCGATATTCCTTATGTTTTATATTTACTTTTTGTAAAACAAACCCAGTGCGGGTTTCAATTGAAGTTATTTAGATGGCAAGTGATAGTGGATTTCGTTTGGGACATTTAAGACTTTACAAAGCAGAATTGCTAGGATCAGTTGACAATATTGAAAAGTTGCAGCAATTTCGCCAATTTTTCGGTATGATAAGATTCGAAATGCTGTGATTCAGTAAAATTACAATTGTATCATATTTTCCACTCTTCTTCATGTTTTTCTAATGAAAAGAGAATTTTGAATTAATCGTTACTATTTCAAAATTTTCGTGTCACAACTGTTCTTCTCTTGACTCACTGTTAAGTATTAAATAAGCTATCGACCTGAGCCCTTAATCTTTTTTTAGAACATTATTTTAGTGTGATGGATTACTTAAGAAATCCTTATCTATAAAGTTTAATTATCTTTCAGGTGACTCAAGAAGTTTTACTCGACTTTCGGAACTATTCAAGGATGATTCCAATAAAAATGTAGCACTAAATTATTTCTGGCATCAGATATGTTTTAATCGTGAAGCCATGGATCGTATACTCTCTATGGCCACTGAAGGTATTAATACTGAGGCATACCAGAACTATCCCAGGCTTCCAATACTTCGAACTCGTTGTTTTTAGCGCTCTATGCATAAAATTACCAAACGTTGTCTTTCTTGTGAAAATTATGGTCAGATATCTTTTTCAATCTGCGGTTACTGGTCGAATATCTTTTGTTTTCGTGGAAAATAGCTATAAGAAATGAAAATCTTGACAGGATTAAACGAGCTGAAGTAAAAGAGTTTTTTTTTTAAAAAAATTAAAATTAGATCAGGTTTTGTTTTTTTTTTCTTTTCTTTTCATTTCGAGATATATGGATCTGTTGATTAGTGTCTCATTATCCTTCCTCTTATAGGAAACAAAGCTCTGCTTGATTCGATTCATGAAAGTATGTCAGCGAAATCACTGAAGTATTATCATAAAATGTTTTATGAAGATGCGAAAAAAATGGATAAAATCATAATGACAATTGAACCGTTGCCTCTCTGTGCAGGGTTAAAAGATGCAAGTTATGGATCTATTAAGAATGTTGTGCAAGAAATGATGAGAAGCAAAAGTGTGAAATTCATGCTTCTATTTCATGTTAAAATTACTAATCGAAAAATTTCTTCTCATCTTTCTTTTCATCGCTGCTTTTCATATAAGTTCAATTTTTCACTGAAAAAAACAGGTTCATTATTTTAAATGCATTTTTTTTTTCATTTTCAGAATATGAAGAAGCAGCATGCTATCTGATGAGGAACCTACCTAAAGTAAAAAGTTTGGAGAATGAATCATCTGACTGGTATTTCGATTTTTTAAATGCTTGTCTTATTGATAGTGCTAATCGTTCAATACCTGAATTTATCGATCCTGATTACAAGATCCACTTGGGTAAGCTAGAAATAGGCTTATATATTTATAGGCAAATGATGAAATTGATGAAATAGTAATCATTCTAAAAGGTTGTTTCTAATCTCTGTGTGAAAATTGATCTTTATTGGATTAAATTTAGTATTTGTCTTAAGCAAACACATTTTAGATACCTACAATGCACAACGGCGAATCCTAAAGATATCTCAAAATAAATCGGGACTACAAAACGAGTTACCAAACACTGTGGATGAACTAGAAAAATCAGAGGAACTGGAAAGTCGCACTCAGGAACATTACAAGAAATATCGGATGAAAGCATTCAGTGTGCCATTTACAATTTTCTCACTGGGTGGAACTGTATTTAAATTTAACATAAAAAGTGTTTCTTTCCGCTGGTACCTTAACTTGGCTGTGACAGTGTAATAAAATAAGAAGAATGGTTCTATTTCAGGTGATGAAAAACTGGAACGCTTGGATGATGCGGAATCGATTGAATTACGACCATATCAGCAGGAGCTGGTCGAAGCAGCATGTAGAGGAATGAACACAATCATCTGTGCTCCCACTGGTTCGGGAAAAACTGTTGTAGCTGCACATATTATTTTGGAACATTTTCGAGCTATGAAAGCTGCAGATAAACCATCCAGAGTTTGTTTTGTTTTTCTTGCTATTTTAGGGGAATTCTGCTCAATTCTCATTTCTATCAGCAGATGTTATATTTTTATCACATTGAGCCAACTCTATCAAAACAGTATACATTTTTAGAACCTTTAGAAAGACTTGCATTTACTAATCTTGTGACGAACTAAAAATACAACAAATTAAGAAATAAAAGTAAAAAATGGTATTGATAACATCAAATTACCTGCAGTGTTTTTAATTTATATGTATCGCATGTTAGCTAGGTTCATACCAAATAAACCAGTAACAGATTAGAAGCTGATGTGCAATGTCACGATTCTGAGATGAATCTAATGCATATCTTTTTCACAGTTATTCTTGCTTGATATCTTTGTTAAAATTGCTAAATCAATGTTCTCTTTTTATGTAATAATGGTTTTATATTACCATATACTGACATATTTATCAGTAAAACTGACGTGACCTAAAATTTTATAATTTCACTGTTTTAGGTAGCAATGCTTGTGCCAACAATTCCACTTGTAGAGCAGCAATGTATAATGTTGAATCGTTACCTGCGCAAAACATTCTGGGTCGACGGTATGAGTGGGAGTGAACCAGTCGATGAAAATGGACGTGCTCCAAATGTTTTAGCAAGTCATGTAACTGTTTTCACACCACAAATTTTCATGTAAATATTGTCACTTTTTATTCTCTATTATTTACGTTTGTGAATTAGACTTAATTGATCTGAAAGCAAATTACCTTCTAAATAAAGAAATTGTTGATGGTGCGGGAATTTTAATGTTTTTCTTTTTTTTTTTTTTTTTTTTGCTTTTTTCTAATTAATTTTTTTTTTTAGAAATTTGCTGAGAAATATACGTCGAGATGATCGTTTGTACTTCACCGATTTCTCGATGTTCATATTTGATGAATGCCATCATTGCGATGGAGACCATCCTTATCACGGCAATTTTTACTATTTCATATTTTTTCAAAACTTGATATATGACCGAACTCAAATTAAATGAATAATTATGTTTTGTAAAGTTTTGCAGTGAAGTATTAATAACAAGCATCACATTCTGTCAGACTGATATTACTGTACTGAAGATAAGTTAGGAATTTATATGAAAAATGCATTTGTATGAGAAATGAAACAAGCAAAATTTTCTTTTGAGATTTTTGATGTGATTTTTCTTTTAAAATCTTGATGCGATTGTGAAATAAGTAAAATTGAAAGTTATGGTCCTTTTTTTTCCAGTTCTGATGCGGATGTTGCACAGATTTGATGGTCCAAAGCCGCAGATTGTTGGTTTAACTGCTTCTCTACCACTTGGTGCCGGACGTGCAAGTGTTGATGCAGCACTCGATGTTTGTTTTTTCAGTTGGACAAAAATTTTTTCATTGCAGTGATTGTATTTTAGAAGTAACATAATTTCTATCTTTATTTTTTTTACATTTTTTAAATTTTGATTTTACTGTTGAGAACTTCATATCTTCATATAAATTCAGCATATGATGGATTTATGTGCTAAACTTTCTGCTCATTCCATCAGTACAGTTCGAAAATACATGGAAAATCTTCGTTATTATGTAAAACCGCCTGTCGATGGTTTGTTAATTTGGTACTTGTTGATATATTAAAATTTAGCTAAATTTGGTTCACTATGAAATATTTAGTGGGAATATATAAAACTAAGGTAAAAGCGCTTATCTTAGTTTCTTTCTGTCTTTTTTTTTTCCTTTTGAGATAAAACGAGCTCATCGGCCTGAATACGACAGTTTCTCCCAGTCACTGGAAATCTGCATGAGAAAAATTGAGTTGGCCATAAAGCCAGAACTTGGAAGAATAGCTGAAAATAAAATTCTTAATTTTAAAGTGGTTGGTTACAATTCTGATTTTGACTTTCTTTTTTGTTTTCCATATTTCTAAACGCTTTTTGGTGCTATGATTATCAAAAAATAAAAATTTTATCGTACAGTCTATCGTAAGAATTGTAACTTCGACCCGTTTTCTTAAGCTCATCCAACAAATTTGTAAGGATCGTTAAAAATACTCTCCACCTTTACATATTCATGCTTTTAAGTATCCATAAAGAACTATTTTATAAAAGAGTGGAAGAATAATACCACTCACATTTTTTAGGAATAAATATTTTAGGACTGCTTAGATCATATTTTTAATTTAGATGCATGTCATATTAGTTTTATATCATTTAGCTTTCAGGAGGAAACTGTATTTCCTGCTCACCGGAACTCAACGCGTTATGAAAGTTTTGTTGGAGGTTTGAAAAATCGCTTAATCGAGTTACCTGATGATAAATTGAAACATCAGCTGATCAAAATGCTTGAACATCTTGGAGTGGGCACTTTTTATTCACCGAACACTTAAGTTAAATGTTTTGAGGATATGTGTTGCTTCAACAGAATGTTTCTGCAACATTTTTCCTAAAAATAAGTTTACGCTTATCCATTTTGTAATTTAAGACCTTTTCCAGTCTTATCATTCAACGATGATATTTGTTTTTCAGTATTATTATCGTGCTCTCTGCTTGAGTGATTTACTGCCGAATTGGTATGCCTACAGTTATTTGTGTGAAAACATGACAAAAGAAATTGTTCACGATGCGGGTGATAGGACAACGATTCAAAATCAGTTGGCGAAGCTTTTCGAAAGTATGTAACTTGTTAGTAAAATGGTTTTACCAAAGCAATGGTTTAATTGCTTATATTGCTTTCTGATTCCTTTCATATCTTTTTTTTCTGATCTCATTTTTTAAGTTGTGTCATTTTTATACCTTTATGCTGTTTTTATGATTTTGTCAGGTCAGAATCTCATTCAAAACTTTTCATAATTTCTTTTTATAAATGAAACGGGAAAAAGTGATGAGGTCAAAAATAATATGCACTTTTTTTGTATTTTCTGTACCAGACTTTTCCATATTCTCTCTTTTTAGAATTCGTGAAATCGGATGAACTGAATTTTAAAGAAAATGATTCGGGTGAAGAAAAAGAAATCTTGAAAATGTTGCACACGATTTTGCTTGAACAGTACGTTTCGGATCCAGCATCCAGAACCATAATCTTTGTGACGACACGTAAACTGGCCCAATATTTATCACACCATTTGAACGCAGTTAAAATTGTCGATAGAACAAGTCATGCAGTCGGATTCATTACCAGTAATATTTTTTTCTTTTTACAAAAGAATTTAAGTTTTCCGGAAATGTTTGTTCTTGCTTTGCAAAACAATTAGGGATGATGTACTTGTCTTCTGTAGTAACATATATATTATTTCTGTATTGTTTTTTAGTTTTTTTGCTATATATATATATATATATATATATGTTTTTGTTTTAAGTGAAATTACCTTCTGATTAAATAAATTTTTGTTTAGAATAAATGAAGGGCGATTAATAAGGTAATATTAAAAGAAATGATTATCATCATGAGATAATGTTGAGTGATTATATGTAACAGTTGAATATATGAAAATGCTAATAAATTATTGGTCATGTAGGTTTTACATATATTTATGTATATTTAGGTTCAAACAGGTCTTCTGCCTTGAATGGTCAAACGACTGAAGAACAGCGGACGGTGATTGAAAATTTCAACCAAGGTACTTTAAAGGTTTTAGTGGCCACATCAGTTGCTGAAGAAGGTCTGGATATTTCTGCATGTAATCTGATCATTAAATATAACAACACAGGTTCCGAGAGATCACTGATTCAAAGAAGGGGTTAGTTCAGTCTGCTGTTTTTGAAGTTTTTTCTTTTTTTTTTTCTAATGTAATCTTAATTTCAAGAACTAATAGTCCATATGTATTTGCTAAGAATGAATAATTCATTCTGTGGTTATTCCATTTTATCGGAATTTTTGTGATTCACGCAAGATACTCGAATATTACAGGTCGAGCTCGAGCGAAGCATAGTAAATCAATATTGCTGGCATTAGATGGTTCTATAGAAGAGAAAGAATTAGAGAATATTCAGAAAGAACATTTAATGAGGCGATGCCTGGAACATATACAAACAAAGTCGGAAAACCAGATGAAACACTTGGTAGATTTCTAGTCGTCATAACAATTCACTGCTTCACTAATTGTAGCATTTCCCTATTTATTGTTGGAGAAATCTCTTTATGATTTAATTTTAATAAGAAAGTTGTTGGTTAGTGTTCATAAGTTTATGAATTGAGAAAATGAATTTCCTGAGGATTTTTGGAAAGAAACGGTACTTTCAGAAAGAATCAAGCAAATTTCATATCCTAACTTCAAGAAATTAAAAATTCCCCTTTAATTTCCTAAATTTTACGACACCAACCGTGAAGGAAATATGTCATTTTCAGCAGTCAATGTTCAGATCACATCAATTTCAGGTAGAAGCGAAAATTAAACAAATGAAAGCTCTTCAGGAAGCGAATTTGGTACGAGAGAGTGAAAAGAAGCGTTCATTGGAAGGGAAATGGTTATTTTTTTTTTAATAACATATTTTCTCGCAAAATTCTTGAAGAATTCCATAATCGAGGTTGATATCCAAATTATCCCGACTATCGGAACTTAAGACCCTTGTCTTTAATTTGATGTCAAAAATTATTTTTTTTTTCTCGGAGTAGTGTTTGCATTGCAGTTATGATTTGAAGTGTCGTCTCTGTGGCTCATTTATATGTAAAAGTAGTAGTATGCGAATTGCGTGCGATAACCATTATGTTTGCTGCGACCCAACAATTTGGGAGCGGATTGATGCTAGAGTTCACAATGCAAAGGTGAAATTATTTAGCAGATGTTCATACCTTTATGAAAAGACGACATCATTTTATTTATTTTTTGATATCTTAATTAGAAATTCGTAACGTTGTTGAGATTAAACGCTTTTCTGCGGTCTTTTTTGAGAACGCATTTCCTCTATTCCTATCTATTTTGCTTTATTTATCCCATTACATCCAGCTCTCTGGAACTTACCTGATTGCTTATTATTTAGTTTCCTTCGTCATTCTATTTTTTAACTCGGTTTTATTCATATGTACACGTGAGATCTTAGGGTAAAATAGTAGAAATTTTTTCGTGAAAGCTATTCTCATGGAAACACTTCACACATAAGATTCCTTTTTGTCGTTGGGATTCATCAGTTAATCAGTACTTTTCAACTATTCCACACATTATATTTCTTCACTGTTTAACTTTCATGTCCACAACAATTGGCTTGTTCCAATGCAAGAAAATTTGAATATTTCTGGTTTTATGATAGTCATTGGCAATTGCAACGCTGGTTGGTAAACTTCATTGTAAAGGAACCGATGAATCAGACTGCAATGAAGTGCTGGGTACAATTGTCAAGTTATACGGTGCCTTCCTGCCAACGATAGCAGCAAAAGCGATAATGATTGATGATAAGGAAGGATTATCTGGTCGGCCACAATATGAGAAAAAATGGGATTCTATAACAACAGATAAATTTTGTGTTGAACCAATCACTGAGTTTGATCTAGTAAGCAATTCATTTTTAGTGTATAATTTATTTAGTCGATTTGTGTACAAAAGGTCTTCCCATTAATCTGGCGACGCATAACTTAAAGGATTAGTTATGATTCTGGTCCAAAGTCATGACTAATGACCACGACTCAGCTCGATAAAGCGGATGTCCTTAGCAGTGATATGAAATACCAGCAGGACTTCATTCAAATTTTTCTATTTCTAGAAAGTGATGTTGAACTCGCTGCACAGCTACTCACGAGAACAACATCTTCAATTTGAAGCTGAAGCAGGACTTGCTGTCAAGCGTGCTCTCACCGAAATGAAAAAAGAAAAGCGACAGTTCGTAATCGAGGAATAAATCCCCCAATACACTTCTGTGTCTGTTCCCTCCAACTTTTTACTTTATTCGGCTTTCAACCGCACTTTTATTAGTTCGAAACCACCACTGTAAATTTAGAAAGGAACACACCCCTTACCTGCCTTCTTCCTCAAAGTCTTCGTGCTTTATTATGATAGATCTCTTGAAAATCATCTCATTCACTTTACTGTTCATCTTAATGCTAAACATGACAGAATTTACTTAACTACAAATTATATAAAATTTTTTGGGAAATGTACTTTCACCAAAAAAAAAATTTGTTCAAAACTGTTCGCTAAAGTTAAATTAAACAGTGCCTAAACAGCTTACACATTACATTTTAATGGAAGTACTGCTGTAGTATTTAACTGCAGTGTAAAGTAGTAAGACAGTAATAGTTTTATCGTTTTATAGTGAGAAAAATGAAACAATAAGTCAAAGCTGTTCAACAAATTTATTTGCTACTTTTGCTATATCTCGCCGATTCTGATTCACGACGAGATGCTGATGAGCGACGGCGAGCAATTTTAGCTGCTTGTTTTTCCTAAAAAAGTTTCAGATAGATTCCTGGGAACGCTGATTCTTTATTTCCACGTAGATTACCTCTTTCCAAACAAAAGATACGATAGAAAAATTTCATGGCCTACAATTGCCAGCAACAAATTGTCGACATGCGCAGTCCAACACATCAAAACTCCAAAAAACGAAAAACAAAACAGCATAACAGACCTTGGAATACTGCGTCATCATCTTATGATACTGAGCTTCTTCTTCACGGCGTTTAACACTTCGTTTAATTTTCATCGCCAGACGTCTTCGCTTGCGTTGCAACACAACTGGTGTTATTAGTCGTTGGATCTTTGGTGCTTTACTGCGTGGTTTCTTACCTAAAAGGATAGTACGATTCATTTCGAATCTTATATTAAAGGTTTGCGTGTCACATTGCTATCGCATTAAGAAAGCTTCAGAAAATGTTGACAATAGTATAATTACTACAAACTATAGAAATAAATTTACCTTCTTTCTCGGGTAGTTTCCGACGAATAACATACTTCCTAACATCATCATTTTTCGTTAGATTGAACAATTTACGAATTTTGGATGCACGTTTGGGTCCTAAACGGCGAGGAACTGTGGTGTCTGTTAGACCAGGAATTTCCTGTTCACCTGAGATAGAGCAAATGCGATGATTCAATTTCAAAAGCAAATCCTTGAAAATCTTTTTAGTTCTTCGTAGTAAATGCAACAACTCAGCAGCAATCGAATTTCTTACCTTTCTTTACAATGATTAATGCAAGGGCAGATAAATTAGCGTCAACAATACATCCACGTACTGATTTACGCTTACGTTCCCCATCCCGACGAGCTCGGTAGCAAGAATGCCCTTTCGACAGTAATAAACGCACGCGTCCATTTGTCAAAACGCCTTGCTTCATTGGAAAACCTTGCTTGTCATTACCACCAGTTATACGCAAAATATAACCCTAAAAAATATGTTCTCACTTATTTACCTTTACCAACAGCAATGACCTGAACATAAAATGTAATCTTCGTCATGAATATATGCAAACATGAAAAGTAAAAAATCTGAAAGAAGTGTAAGCAGTCCGATAAATTATACAATTCCAATAATCGTTTTCAGAATTGTACAAATAATAAGTTCAATAGTATGTCTTACTAAAATGCTGTACAAATACTATTTCGAACTTAAAGAAATACATAAGAATGTCTGGTTTAAGGAGCAAGGAAAAAAAATTCAAATAGTGGATCACAAGATAACCACTCATATTACCTTCCATTCATCACCCAAAGCATCGGCCTCCACTTCCTGCGCCATCCTTTTTTCATAGAAAATTCGCAACTTTTTCTCATCATCAATCTCAAAGACTTTCTGACAGCCAGTAGTTGGATATGCTATATTCAATTTCATCCTTTATTTCTTCTAGCTGTACTCGCCTGAAAGCAAATGTTAGTACTGAATTGCATCTACAAATACAAAATAAAATGTTTTCATTTCCTACTGGTACTCTTAAATTACTCAACTATAGATGGAAGACAACCGTCTTCATGCTATGTCTTGAATATTTCGAAGCACTGCAAAAAAACGATAGGCAAATATCCTTTCAAGAGTTGCAAACAAACCTAAAAAAGGGACCAACGCGGCGATTAAATACTCTCTTACCATAGCAAATCACAACTTTCGTGCTTATCTTCCATTTCACGGTCGGACGGGGAAGGAGATAATAAATGTAACGAAAGATCAAACATTCTTTTCGATTTTATTCTCTTTTACTGAGAATCTACTAAGGTTGAGAGGGACACAAATCGAAGTTTGAGCACTTAAAAAGCCTCTGATAGGAGTCCTTCAGTAAAAGATGCTCCTTTGCCAGACCTAATCCATACCCAGTCTGAGACAATAACGAAAACCTAAGACACAAAGAAAAGAGAAAACAGTTCGCGACTCTCACCATTACTCCCACCTATTTGTCACCTCATATCACATCTACGACACATAACACACACACAAGTAAAAGCTAACAACCCCTAAAACAGTCCGTCCAAGTCATCGTAACATACACAGATTTAAGAAGTGAGTAATTTCGGGAGCAAAAGAAAAAGACATTCATAAGATAGTACTGATATGATGCGAGGCGAAGGCAAAGACACTATGCATTTAGGGATACACCGACTAAGTGAATCTAAGAATTCTGCTTGGAGAGCACGCATAAAGCCGAGAAAGGAAAAGAAGCAGATAAAACAAAAAGAAAGCGATTACTTTAGATTATAGTCATTGTTGCCCAGAGTGACAGCATGAAAATGCTTTCTCACAGGATAGAAGGAATGACTATAAGTGATAGCTCATAGTTCTCATCAATAATTTACTGTGATATGAAATTGTTATTGTTAAGGGTTGTTAGTGAGTGAGAGAAGTGATATTTATGACGAAGTGTCTTCATATATTTCATGCAAGGAAATTTTGGGATAACAGATGAACAAAGAAATTTGCAAAAATTTTGACAAACAAATTTGAATATAAAGCAGGTTTCAATAAATATATGTAGAATTAGTTTTTTAGTTTTTTTTTTTTTTTTTTTTAGAATGTTTAATAAGGATCAGCTGGTTGGTTAGCAAAAAAAAAATTAATTGTCCTACGCCGACTGAAATACTAAAGTGCAATAAATAATTTGGATCTATTAAGTCTGATTTTCCATCCTATTTCTTTTTTCATTTCATTATTCGCTATTAAAACTGCCCGTTTGCTATATATCCATCCATCTTTCCACCTGATCAAGTCTTTTCATGATGACACTTTAGGGAATACAGTCTAGCTCATCATACCATCTAGACAGTAGTTGACATTATATTTTATTTAACCTAGCATCGATAACGAATTTATTGGAAGTTTTAGGTCCAACATCGAGAAATAAGACAGTTTTATAAATTGTTACATGCAACTTTCTCGTGTGATCTAATTTTTTATGGAGAAAAAGCCCATTTCTTTTCATGAAGCAATTTATTTAGTTCATGTAAGACTCGTTAAAGTAATGTCATACATCTCAATGCTTGGCTATTAATATGATATTTCTGTGATAATAGCTTACTTATAGTTGCCCATTGAAACAATACTTTAAGTAAATTGCATAATTTTATTCGGTAAGTTATTAGCACTTCAAGATAACCAAACTAGACTTTGCATATTCAATTATTTTATTCATAAAATAGCTATTCTTCGCTTAGGAACTACTGTACTTAGCATTATGTAACAATGAGGTGAGATGGCTGTTGTAATGTAATACCTATATCTGTGTACTTAACAAAAAGAAAAACTGAACCTATTTCCTAAGGACAAATAGTTTCCGAGATTTGTAGCCAATTTTCCAACTTTTTAATACTGGTGGTAATTTGATGATGGAATTCGCAAGTCATATTAGAAATCAATTCTTACATATTAAGTTTAAAATTTTCTAAGCATGACTGTTAACCAAAATTTTCAATAATTTAATTATAATGCGAAATTTTCAAAAGCAGAGAAGAAATAAATAGCTGTGATCTTCAATGTAAATAATAATACTAAAGAAGAGGAAGTGGAATAAGAAATGAAAAGAGACAAGGACTTGGTTCATTCTTAATAAAATGTTGATAAATTGGAAATATTGGAAAAGAAAAAAGAAAAAAGATTGTAAAAAAAATCAAAAAACTACAATTTCAAAAATCTATTATGATGACAAATGCTAAGTGTTATAATAGTAGTGGATTCTTATGTTTATGTTATAAGAAAGTTTCTAGGAACGGAATGCGAATTATGCTTATATTTCTTTCTTTTTTTGTTCATACCAGTTTAATTGCCTTCTAACTTTTAACTTCCCGTAATAGCCTTATTATGCAGATAGCATTCTGTTAAAAGTTTATTGAATTGGAGAGTGTAGTCAATGTGTTAATAATAGAGAGACAAGAAAAAAAATAGAAAAAAAAAGTGGAACATAAGATTTCTGCTACCAAAATTGATTTCGTAAAGTTGAATGCCGGAATTGATACCGAAATGATATATAGTGCTTTAGATGAATATTTCCAGATATATTAGTACATTACTGATAACTGATCTTTTCATTTTATAAGAAATTATGAAAAAGTCTGTTAAAATTTCTAATCTTATCACATGTTTGACATTTTATTATTCGATCAATATGTTCATATTAGATAAGATTAGAGGAAATTTTACTTCCTTTAAAAGTGTAAGGGATTCATATTAATTTTCTAAAAGTTCCTTGTTCTCGAGGTACTTTCAGTAAATATATGTTTGTCTTCGAGATAACTTCATTCAGGAATTTTTAAAGAACATCAATATTTTTGTCTTATCACTTGCGAGAACTTCCCTTTGTTTTTAATTATTCTTAAAATGATTTAATTTATTCTCTATTTCTTATGTGATTTTGAAAACATTTAGTATTCATGCAATCAAACATTACTCCTTGATTGCTTGAATGAAAATTCACCATGCAGATATTGTTCAGATATAATTTTAGTTCTTGTGAACTGTAAGATAAAAATTAATGCTACCTTTTCTTCTATTTCTTCAAAATTTGATTACTAAATCAAAAAATTTTGTATCTTATCTTCGAGCAATTTTGAAAAATAAAAAATCGAAGCAAGCATAGTTATAAACTCTTAGTTGTCATCTGTCCCTCTATGACATTTGAAGAGGCGGTCTTAAACAGGCATACGATATTCAGTATGTGCGATGATTGCAGTAAAGGTAATAATGATGTAAAGAAAAGTGAATTATATAAGCAGGTTTTTTTTTTTGTAATAGAGACTTCAAAAATTGGGAGTAAGCTCACCCAGCCGCTCGTTTACTTGATTAGCTCTTAACATAAAAGTAATGAATACATTTTCTGCCTTTACATTCTCATCAAATCTATCCTCCATTAAAAGCCCAGAAAATGGCAATCAAGATATGTTTTGCTAAGCCATTTTTTCCTTCCATAATATCATTGTTTTGCTAAGCTTCCTATGCATGAAGCTATAGTTATTGAGATACTCTTCACGTTGCAACTAAATATTTACGTGAACGGTATTCAATTTAAACAAATATATTTCTCTTCTAAGTATCATTTACTAACCAACAGAAAAAAACTTCCAAATATTTCTTCCTTATAAATCATTCAACCTATTTCCACACCAATACAATCAAACATAAATCTTTCTGCCATCGTTTGTTGCTTTTATTAGTAAATCGAAATTATGCTTTCTCCTGAATCCAATCTTAAATGCTCTTCACTGCCTTATATCTATTTTTTAACATTTTTATAGTTAATATATGTTTAGCTTGTGGTCACTAGCTATGACTAGTAGCTATGGTCAGAGAAGAGGACTTTTAAAAATATATGTATATATTGATAGAAATTTGCATTTGTTAAAGAAATGAGACATTCTTATAGAATGTTTGTTGAAGGGTACATTCGTTATATATTGATGTATTAATTGAAAGATAATACTTTTGCTCTCGTCATCGTTAATTTCTACTTTTAATAGTAATGATTTGTTATTGCAATAAGCGAGCATATGCAAATATTACAAGCCTTGATGGATTCATTAGCCTTCTCGAGTTTATTGAATTTTTTCCTTTTTATTAGAACTTAAGTCTTATGCTTTTTTAATATTGCTAAGTTCAAGATTAAAACAAAAAAGATAACTATAAGGAGAAAAAAAAATCGGTGTTGTTTTTGGAATTTAAAATCCCTTGAGGCCCTTCCTATGATAAATGGTTTATACTAAAAATGAAAAGTGGTATGATAATAAACTTATAACAGCTAAAAAAAAATTCCTCATAATAGCTTTAAATATCTGGTCAATCTAAATTCCACGGTTTTTTTTTGGTTTTATTTTAATTTCATTTGTGTTACAAATCAAAAAAATATAAATATAAAGCAATAAGTATATCTTTTAGAATATTAATGATATTTAGAATGCTGAAGACAAGTCTTTTTTTGAAGGCTAACAATCTATGAGTCTCTTCTAAGTCAAAGATGAAAATTAATGAGAAGAAAAGACGGCAAATACTCTTACTCACAAAAGGGCGATGAGCAAAATTTATTTAGCATGAAAGAATTCTGTTAATATTGTATTAACTTTAGTGGTTAGTTATTTAATTGCTGTTTTTTTAGGGGATGATATGAGAGCCATTATATGCAGATGAAAATGTTGCTATGTTAGGCTCACAATCATTGAGTTTTCTTCTGAATCGGGCAACAAAATCATTCCGTTCAAGTAATCGCCATGAAGTGACACTTGGAAATAATGACCATCAAAAAAAGGCATTCTCCCATTATGCATTCTGGAACCAGCAAAAACAAACGTTACTTCGATCTCTAGATACCTTGTCCATATCGAATTTGCATGGCCAACGTTGCACCAAGTAAGTGATAAAAG